GTCAATTACAACTCAAAACACCGGTTGTTAAAGCCCTAAACGGCTGGAACTTGTCACAGATTGTGTAGTCTCCTTCACAGAAACAATTACGATGTGAAATAAACGAATGATATAGATGATTCAATGGCATTTCATTAAATGGTATTTCACAGTGGATCAGGAAACTGCAAGATTGGTTACTGAGTGAATCTACTTTCAACGATAAGATTAATGATGTATAACACTCACCCAGTCGCTTTTAAGGATGTTTTGTAAATAAGATCTTTAAACTGCACCGCAGTTTACCAAAACATCCCTTTCATGCACTCAATTTTGAACAGTTTCAGCCAAAAAGCAAATTGCAACATCTAACAGCAAAAAAAGTAGGTGAAAGGACGTGATGAATAAACCGGTGTTGTAAATAGAATAAGAAGAATGGTAAGTTTTGAGCTCGGCTAAGAAATAGATAAAGATGTCGTCCGTCTTTTCACGATGGCATTGACACGACGCTATCGACATTGCCGATTCTAGCAGCATGCAAGACGCGTGTCATATTTGAACTTGGTAATGGGCATTGCTTTACATAGAGTCTCCGTGGATAAGTGGCAGAGAATTGGGGCGCGGAATTCGAAGGTCTGAGGTTCAATTCTTCGTAGGTACTCAGGAGTTTTCTCTGTCCCACGCTCTTGAAAAATGCAAAACATCTTCCTACAAAGAATGGTGCTCAACTGTATTCCCGAATATCGCGATCTCAATAAAAGATGTAAAAAAACTCTTTGCTCATTTTAGTGTGCACTAAGAAATGTTACCGTTACTTCGGGAATCTCTTTCTAATAATTATCAAAATACAATAATCTAAGTATTATTTAACTTGTTGTCTTATCTTATTGTTACTAACATTATTATTACATTTGATGGCAAGTGTTCAAGATGGTTATGTAATTCAAAACAATGTAATGGTTACATGACCATGACCAGCTATGTTGTAGCAGCATTCATTCTGTTGACTTTTTCCACCACCACCTCCACAGGAATCATTACTATCACTTCCACTGCTTCCCCCAGAGTACCCTCCTCCTCAGCCTCCTCCTCCTACTCTCCGTTGAAACCAACCTACACCTCCACCTCCTCCACCAAACCCACCATCGACAGGCGAATATCGAAATCGTGATCTCCCACCCACCCCTCCCTGAAGGAATTCCTTACCACCTTCTCCACCATATCCCTTGATTCCTCTTTTATAACTGGAGTAAAACTCGCCACCACCACCACTACCTGAAAAAACAAAATTATATCAATTAAATTGGAAATCTTTTTAGTGGTGATATCTGATTTATAAACTTTTGAAATTACAACCAAAAGATGAAAAAATGCTTATGCGAGAAATAATTAAAAGATATTCTCATCTGAAGGAGGATAACCACCAGCAGGCTGTGCACCATGTCTATTGCTCCCTCCTGACCATGATGTGCACTCAGGATTTCCTGTTGTGTTTGTGCTGGCGTGACATCCTTCATGTCTTGACTCAGCTTCATTTATCCCTCCTCCTCCGCCTCCAGCTATTATCAAAGGTGTGTTGGCTGCTCTCGCTACAAATGTACCTCCACCACCTCCAGAAGAGGGACCCAATTCGTTTATCCCTCCTTTTTGACCAACAAGTATCTGAATGGTTTCACTCTTATTTCAGCGGAATATTCCAATCATTCCTACTCCTCTTCCTCGGTACTGAGAGCTGTTAGTGGGTATATCGTACCCTCCTGCTGCTCCTATTGCTTCTATTCTGTAGTCACCAGTGTGTGCCACAGTCCACTGTTGAATACCGCTGGACAGTGTAACTTGTCCGTCATGATCCTGTCCTGTGTAATAACTACCAAGTGTTGTTGGACCAAATCTTCCATTGGCATTGAAATTTGTAAAAATAGCTTAAAATGCTGCGAGAAAAAAGCAAAGATGACATCCAGTTCTCATTTGGATCCCAAGTTTTCTAAAAGTTAAAATTCAACATGGAATTACTTTCCTTATTTTTTAAAATTTTTATTCCTTCAACTTTATTTGTCGGTATTTTTTGCCTGTATCATGAAATTACAAAAGAAAACAAGAAAAATAATTAGATAAATAGATAAACAATGAAAAAAAAAACCACAAAATAAACAGGATAAAGGCATAAAAGGAATCTACGGATCTCTGGATATTACTACTTTGCGAAGGAAAATCGAATTGCGACCTTAAGGATCAAAGTAAAGAGAGTGTGTGTGTGTGTGTGTGTGTGTGTGTGGGATCCAAATGAAAACTAAGTGATTCGCTGATCGTAACATATGAATTAGGATTTCTGTGGTTGAAAATATTTAAGATAAATTGTTAAATTTATTGACAGAACCCTGTCAGACGATAAAACCCTGTAGACTCATCTTAAAACACCTTTTCAGACAGGAATTTAGATGCTGTTTTTTTTATCGTTTACAACTGAATTTTAAATTGGACCAAGGAAAAATGATTTTCTCAGTTGATGCATGATTGGACATACTTCCAGACTTTAAAACAAAATTCCTTTAACAGTTAAAAGTTGAAGCTTTTGAGTGGGACTCACAAGGGCGACATGAAGTGTTTAAGATCTTAACCTCCATAAACAGCGTTAAGTATCAATTTAGCTGCCCTTTATAATTACAGCTGTTTCAGTCTCGTTAGAACTCATCGCCATGATATAACGATCGCGACTTTCTGTTTCCCAGTAGAAAAGTGCATAAAGCTGGGATATCTTTTGCCACCTTCATTTCGCCTGCTATTAGGGGATACCAAACGATAACAGACAGTTTTTTTCTAACTTTTCTTTCCTAAGTGTAAAAAAAAAAAACCCGGGACTAAGCATTCTCAGGAAACTAAAGCTAATTGGAAACTGACATTGAACGGGTAATTTTCTTACCTGGTTATTGATACCAAGACTGATGCTTTTAGCTATTTTCTTTTTAGGAAAACAGATGGCCTTTATCTCAAATGATAAAAACAGGAGAAGATTGCCTCTAGAGACAATGTTTACTTAGCCATAACCTCAAGCAACAAACCCAAACATTATTCTTGTGATATCTTCTCTAGGACACTGGAAGCACATTTGAAGAGTAAATGAGGACAGAGAAAGAGTTACGTATGATGCACGATCCTCGCAATAGATAGCGCTATTTATGCAATAGCGAAAATCAGACCTGAAAAAATCAGGCCTGTACGGGACTCGAACCACTGACCTCTGCGATGCTAGTGCAGCGCTCTACCAATTGAGCTAACAAGCGAACTGGGAGCAGGCCGTTAAGTTGGTTCGTAATAAACCCGTGAAAGTGATAAATGAGATAGAATAAAGAGAAAGAGCTGTAATAAAATCTGTGTGTTCACTTATGATTATCTTTATTGGCTCAACTGTTTTGAAATGCAAACGTAACACAAAACATGAATGTAATACAATATCCTTTGGAAATGGCATAAATTGTGGTTTCAATTGAACCTGTATGTTCACATATGATTATCTTTTATAGAATCATTGAAAACTAGCTTTTTAGAGATTCATTGATCGACCGATTGCCAATTTAGCGGCCTCTGCACGAAAATGAGGCTTTTCGGTGGTAACGGTTGCTAAGGACCAGTACAGTAGAACCACGAACCGTCAAAGTTGGTTGATTCGAACTCCAAAAGTAATGGAACTAATTTTCATTTCCCTTGAATAAAATTTAACTTTATAACTCGAAGTTTGAGTTAAAAGGACGGTCGACAAACGCCAAAGCGTCAGAACGTAGCTGAATGACACGTCCAAATCTTTGATCGCAATTGATACGAACTTGATAACATTTATAAATACGAGATTGGAGCCCGCGAACGTCTAATAAACACTAGCAACCATCTGTTCAAAGGGCGGATAACGCCATCCAATAGATAACTCGCTATCCAGCGGATAAGTGTCCACAAAACTTATTGCGCTCTTCATCAGATGGTGATTAATCAAATTTATTATGTGGCTGTGTCGCATAAGGACTGGGAACTACCGAATTCACGAATTTGATTGGTTGAAATCAATATTGAAAGCGGTCTAGATTTTCCCATCTAGACCGGCATCTAGACCGGTCTTGAAAAAAAGGTATAAAGAATATAAAAAATTGGCATATAAGACACAGACAATAATAAAAATCTTATTAACCGAGCTAGGTCGGTGTGTATGGAAGAATCTTGACCTCGGTCGCTGGTACAGACCTCATTGCGTTCGGTCTGTATTGGCGACCTCGGTCAATATTCTTCCATACAGACCTCCCGCTCGGTTAATAAGAACTAAGTGTAGTGTCATCCACCCTTCGAATAACCGAGGCCTCTGGTCATTAATTATGATAGAAGACAGTAGAGCAATTCGTGTACGTCGTTTCTTCAGTGTAGCAGTCCAAAGACGACGTAGTTAAGGTGAATCCTCAAGAAAAAAAAAGTTATCACAAAATATACATTTTTTAACTTTCCTTATAAGTTTCCTAAAAATGTATGTTTCGAAAACAAGAGTAAAAATTATAGATCACGGCATATGATGATATGATGGCCAGTCTTACATGATTCGTGTACGCTTTCAGCCACACGTTTTCTAAACTCTAATGTTTTTTCTCCAATTCGTAGGGGATAGTTTTGTACATCAAGATTATGCGATAAAAAGTATATGTCACCGTGCTCGGTCAAGGGAAAGAGACCATTGCACCTGTTTACCTGGTTCACTGATTAAAACGAAATACTATGTTCTCTGAATGCGCGTATCTATTCGCCTGATTACGTCATTTTATGCACTGTACAGGATACGTGGTGCAATACTTAGGAATCACCTTAACTGATTACCTTGATGATAAATGTTGTACACACTATCAGAATGTTTGGTAAACTGTCCTTCATCAGAATAGTCGTCACTACGTTTCAGTATCAGTTTTGGTCGCGTTACCATCAAACTTGCAAAAAGAAAGTAGATATGCGTCAGGTTTCGCCACAAATAACAGGCACAAAACGAGTTTTTTTTTATTACTTTTTAATCTCCTAACTCCTGCTTAGGACTAAAAACATATTACATAAAAAAATCTGTAAATTCATCGCTTCCAATGAAATGAATTCTGTCCATTATCAACCTTCGAAAGCTTTGCTGAAAAAATTTATTTGAGCCACTAATGAGAAACTCTTGTTCAGCAAAAAGTGTTTTTTAGTGGTCAGTCAGACCTTGAAAAAAGAGGAGTCGGGAAGGGTTGGCGAGTCCCTCCCCACCCTCTCCCCCCGATGAATTTGTTTCTAATGTTTGTTTTATTGATAGCTTGGCTCTAAGTTTCCACTATCACTTACAATGCAATAACAGCTTTATACAACTGTCATAATCAAATGAGCTGTACTTTATTACCTAAAAGACTTAATCCAAAACTTTTACGGCTACCAAAATAATGTCAAATACGTTAAATGTACAAAATGATCCTAAGAAGGATCAACTTCATGAGAATTGGCTATCTTCCCTTTTTTAAAGGGGGAGAGGATGGGACAATTCTTTCCTCTGGTAGGAAAAACCGTTTACAAAGGCAGGATTGAGCCTTTTGAAATCACGTGAGAAGATGTTCTAAGCCCAGTTCCCCCTTCCTTGCCTGGGCCCACGCTGAACATAGCTTTGTTAACATAATGTTTATGACAGGTCTCCTATTCCTTTGTCTCTCTTTAATGAGAGCAAAGCTCTCTCTTTGGTATGGAAATAATTGCGCTTCAGTGGAATAAGTCGCTTATATACAGAAGCCTTATTCGAGTACTAAATACAAGAAATGAACGAAAATCTAGTGAAACTGCTCATCAAACTTTTCTAAAGAAAAATTATTTTGTAAAACTAGTCTTCTATTTCATTACCCACTGCTGACCTCTTATTTAATTTTTACCGACATTATATTATTGTTGCATTTGATGACAAGTGTTCAAGATGGTTATGTAATTTACAACAATGTGATGGTCACCTGACCATGACCAGCTGTGTTGTAGCAACATTCATTCTGCTGATTTTTTCCAACATTGAAGGATCCACCACCACCCCCACAGGAATCGCGCACATATCTTCCACTGCTTCCCCCTGAGTACCCTCCTCCTCCTCCTCCTCCTCCTCCTCTTCTATACCAATACCGATACCGATACCATTCATAACCTCCACCTCCTCCACCAAACCCACCATCGATAGGTGAATTTCTATATCGTGATCTTCCACCCACCCCTCCCTGAAGGAATCCCTTACCACCCTCTCCACCATAACCTTTGGTTCCATTAAAATTCTGTCCACTTCTTCCACTGGAGTAAAGCCCGCCACCGCCACCACCTGAAAAAATAAAATTATGTTAATTAAGTTGGAAACCTTATTAGTGGCGATATCTGATTTACAAACTTTTGAAACTACAACTAAAAGATGAAAACATTCTGATGTGAGAGATGCAAAAATATTCTTACCTGAAACATAATCATTAGCAATCTGTGCACCAAGTCCATTGCTCCCCCCAGACCATGATTTGTGCCCAGGATTCCCCGTTATGTTCGTACTGGCGTCACATCCTTCATGTCTCGACGCAACTATATTTACCCCTCCTCCGCCTCCAGCTATTATCAAAGCTGTGTTGGCTCCTCTCACCACAAACGTACCTCCACCACCTCCAGAAGAGTAATAGCGCGTGTTTATTCCTCCTTCTTGACCAACAAGTATCTGAATGATTTCATTCTTGTTTAAGCGGAACGTTCCAGTCATTTTTGCTCCTCTTCCGCGGTACTGAGAGCTGTTAGTGTATCTATCGTATCCACCTGCTGCTCCTATTGCTTCTATTCTGTAGTCACCAGTGTACGGCACAGTCCACAGCTGAATACCGCTGGACAGTGTAACTTGTCCGTCATGATCCTGATCCGTATAGTAACTACCAAGCGATGTTGGTCCAAATCTTCCAGTGGCATTGAGATTTGTGAACATGGCTTTGAATGCTGAGAGGACGCCATATTTTCAAATTTGATCATTTGGTGAAGACGCATAGAGTAATGACCCTCTAGTACCCCCTAAAACCAATAAAATATATGCGCAAACGACGGATTCTGATTGGCTTATTCATCTCCAAACTATAGAGGAGGTTTGGGGACAAAACTCCACTTAGTTGGGGAGGTAAGAGGGAAAGCGTTCTCGCGCGAGGCAATCGCGAGTTTCGGGCGGGTACGGGCGGTTCAGGTGTCAATGTGGTTCAGGTGTCAAACACTTAAGATCAGCCATAATAGGAGACAATACAAAGCAACACGACCATTTTCAGTTTGTTAATGAAACACAAAAAACATTTTAAAATGTCTCCCTTAATGACAGAACAAATGTTGCTGTGAGATCTTCTTGACAGTCTTTTGCGTTGAAAAAGCTTATCTTATTAAAGTGGCGCTCTTTTATCTTAACACGAAACAGTTGACAGCTAAAAGATAGCTCAACTAACTGATAAGATTAGGTCAGTCCTGGATAATAATCAGAAAGAGTTTGGCGATAGGAGCCAGTCATATCAAGGTTTCTGCAATTAACGTTGAAAAGACTGAGTACTTGGTATCAAGTAGAATTTGAGCTAGAGATTTCTATCGCTTGTGAATCGACGAGGTCAAAAGGTGTTCTTCAGCAAACTCTTTACAAATTTGAAATTCACATGCAACGCATAAAAATGGAATTATAATTTTGTACATTCTATTCCTGAAGCTATCCAATTCTTCCGTTGGTGATAGCAGTTTGCAGATTTATGAGACTAATCATAAATAGTTTAGTATAGTTCCGCAAGTCAGTTGACAAAATTGATGCAAGAGTGAAGGTGAAATATAAAGTTAAAAAAGTATAACACAAACTTTGGTCTGAAAATGGTGATGTTTTCAGAGCTCCGCGCAGGTGAACTAGTTTAAGTCGAAAAACTTACGTTTGTTTTCCCCAGTAGGACAGTGAAGCCATCCTCCCCACAGAACAGACATGAAAAGCGCCAACAGAGCGAGGGAAAAGCGCTCCACCATTCTTAACAACGTACCAGGACGGTGATGAACGGGTCTACCGTTGAAAGCGGAGCAGCAACACTCTAATAAACACGTCGAGTGCTCTTCGAAAAATCTTGGGGGGATTTAACTCTATCAATATTTTATAAGTGATTATAATTGACAGATGAGGAGCCAGTTGTCATCCGATCCTATGCTGACGTCGGCCTTTTAGCTGTTTCATCGACAACATTTTTTTTTCTCTTTTAAGACTATTTTTTCCCCATAACACACTGGTTTTTTATAACTTGGGATATTCAATGATTGCGTACATATGAAATAAGACTTCTGTGTTTAAAAGAAAAAATGATAGATTGAAAAATTAATTGACGAAAAGCTTTCAGATAAATTTGGGTCTATAAACTCAACTTAAAGCACCTATCACACATGAATAGAAATAAAGTTTATTTAACGTTAATAGTTGCATTTTAGCTTGGTTATACTTTGAGACACCTGCCTCTATCTTCTGAATTTTTCAAATTTTGTTGTGTCCATAAACTGTGGTACTCAGTGATTCGTAATGTGTGAATTAGGACTTCTGTGGTTGAAAATACTTAAAATAAACTGCTAAAGCTTATTGACAGAACCTGTCAATTGATAAAACCCCGTAAACTCATCTTAAAACACCTTTCAGACAGGAATTTAGATGGTGTTTATTCAATGTTTATAATCAAATTTTGTATTGGACCAAGGAAAAATGATTTTTTTTCTTGATGCATGAATGGACATAATTTCAGACTATAAAACGAAATGCCTTCAACAATGAAATGTTGTTGCTTTGGAGTGGACCTTACAAAGGCGATATGAAGTGGTTAAGATCTTAACCTCCATAAAAGCGTAAAGTATTAATTAAGCAGCCCTATACAGCTTTTTCATCGGCATGATATAAAGAACATGACTCTGTTTCCAAGTAGAAAGATGCACAAAGTTGGGATATCTCTTGCCACCTTCATCTCACCTGCTGGCTGGGGACACCAAAAAACAACAGGCAGGCTTTTTACTAAATTTTCTTTCCTAAGTGTTAAAAAGAAAAACCATAACTGTGCATTTTCAGGAAACCAAAGGTAATTGGAAACTGTCTTCAAATGGGTAATTTTGCCACCTGCTTATTGATACCGAGGCATTGATGCTTTCAGCTATTTTTCCAGGGAAACACGTGGCCTGTATCTCAAATTACGAAACAGGAAGAATATTGCCTTTAGAGAAACTTATTTAGCCATAACCTGAAGCAACAAACTTTCTTGCGACAGCTTCTCCAGGACACCAGAAACACATTTGAGGAGTACATCACGGCAGAGAGAAATCTGCAACTAAACCTAAAGTATGTGTTCCCTTATGATTATCTTTATTGGATCTACTGATTAAAAATGCAAACCTAACACCCACACATGAATGCAACACACTATTCGTTTAGAAATGGCACATATTATGGTTTCAAGTAAAAAAAAAGTTTTTTGGTAAAACCGAGGATATATTTTTAATTACTTTAATTTTCAAGTAAGTGGAATGCTTGGAAAAGAGTTCCCTGCACGGAAATGCTTAGAAAAAAGGTCCCTGCACGGAAATGAGGTTTTCAGTGGTGATGGCTGCTTTAAGTACCAGTACAGTAGAACTACGAACCGTCGAACTCGGTTAATTCGAACTCCAGGGTAATCGAACTAATTTTAATTCGCTTGATTAAAATTTAACCTTCGACTTAACCGTTTAGATTTTTTATGTTACTATAAAAGCCTTTTTGATATACGTCTTTCATTTCTTCTTTGAAAGGAATATAAAAATAGATTTAGAATTTTAGCTTTCTTGTCACTGTCAACCAATCATCGATTAACAAGATAATTTAGTTTTATAAACTAAGTTGTCTCTAAAAATTTTCCAAAGTCGACGTTTTAAGCGTTGGTCCAAATTTCCTTTTCATTCTGACGAGGGACCAACGCTTGGTACGTCAGCTACAGAAACTCTCTGTGCCGGCAAACTTACTTTGTCAACTCAGTACATAAAACCGAATTATCTTATAACACATCCACCGACGCAGCACTACAGTTTCTGTAGAAAGAAAACCCTCCTTATTCTCGAAAATAGTCTCATTAACTCCGAACTTTTTTGTTACTCTGACACTCATTGACCTGTCATAGTTCAATAAAACTCCCTATCTAGAGTTCTGTTATGCAATTCAATGCACTTAAATGTTGTCGATGACACAAGTTTATTGCGAATATAGTTTGGCAAAAAAATCAAAACTAAATTCATTCTTGTAACCTAAAAATGACTTGATTTGTATTTGGGCAAGCAAAAACGAAATCGTTTGGTTAGTTAGGATACGAGGGCACAAAAATAATCTTTGAGATATTCATCGTGTGTAGTGTGGCGAAAGTTCATCTTCCTGTCTGGCAGCTGGAAATCGCCAAACATTAGGAGGTTAGGCTGCATTGAAGATGGATCGTACAAAGAACTATTAACAATGAATTGTTGTTCCAGAACCTTTTCAATATCGACTTTACTCTTTCCCCCATTGTTGTGAATTAGCTCCGAACTTTTCTCCGACACGTTTTGGTTCTGTCAAGGAGTGACCCGTTTTTGTGCTTTTTACATCTTTAACATCATCAATGTTTCCGCTTTCTACATCGTTCTGGATCCTTTTTTCTTCCCGACTCTTCACTTTATCTTGTCCCTCAATCTCCCCACTTCCTAATGAATTTTCAGATTTTTTTCTCAGAGCGTCCAAGTCTTTCTCTGCGGGAAAGTTGACACGAAGTTCTTCAGAGGCGGTCAACACAGACGTAATAATGGAGAAAAACATAGATACTCCTAAAAGAACGACTGTGGCACGCAATAGTTCCATAATAATGCTTCCAACATCAGAAGGAGCTTGTCCTGAAGAAAAAAAATAATCTTGGTGCAATTACAATTGGTAATCTTATGATTGTGAGGGGAATTTCGAATGAATAACCGTGAACAATTTTTCAAAGACTTTAATTGTAATGTATTGGAGAACATAAAACGTGGAAACTGTTTTAATTATTAGCAAAGAACTGAGATGCGGAGATCATTTATAAAAAATTTATCATTCCTTATTTATTCCAGAATTAAACGAAAAAGAAATATATTTTTTGATCTTATTGGACAGTTCTAGGGGAAGTATGCTCCAGAAACTATATGAACGACAAGATCGCTTACAATGGAAAAATTGGAGTTGAATAAATATTATAGAAGAGAGGCTGGGTTGGTGGGCAAAATTCAAAATAGCGGTGTCCGTAAGGGGAATCGTTAAAACAGACAACTTTCCACAGGTTAGGTTACTCCTAATGGAAATTTTACCATTAAACATTTCACGAAGTGGCTCTTCTTGTCCACTGTTTCCAGTGTTTTGGGGAAGGAGGAAATCCGGACGACCCGAAGAAAAACCCACCTGTGGCGCTAGGGGCCTGTTTCTCGAAAGTCCCGGTAACTTAAAGCTGTTCTGTTTTCATTTAAGATGGGGATTTCAAAATTTTCAAAAATGGTACAGTAAAACTGTCAGCTAAAGAAACAAAAAGGACTGGTTTGGGTGCCAGAATCTACTTTCCCATCATTGAAACTTTGATTTTAAGTTACCATGACTTTCGAGAAAGGGCCTCAGCGGTGGGAGACGAGCGCTCCCACACTGTGCTATCCCCGTGCAATTTCATGCGTTGCAGAACGGACTCAAAAAATCGTTATGCCAAATATTTAAAAAGAGAAAAAAAAGGAAAAATAAATTCTCATTTTGGTACTTCTCTGTGACTTATTTCTAAGCCCCTTTATTCCGAGCTCTTCCCTACCTCCGTTTGGCACCAGATCCCCAAATCCAATGGTCGAGAACGTGATAAAACAGAAATATACTCCTTCTAGAAAATTCCATTGTTCTTCCTGTAGATAAAGGAACGCTCCAACAATTAACATTATCAGGAGGGCGAACAGCGTCCACATAAGAGTTTTTGTGACAACTGGCTGTGATTCCCGCTTGAGCAATTTTGTTTCCACTAAGAAATGAATATAGCTTATTAGTTGATTGACGCGGTCTCCAATATGACGTAACACCATTAGATTCAAAGGAATTCCAAATAAGGCGAAAACCATACAGAAGACGCGGCCGCCAACTGTACTGGGAGCTAAGTGACCATAGCCTGTGGAATAGTGAGAGAGGGGAATGGATAAGCGCTTAAGTTAAACTCAAGTTACCTTCGTTTAAAAGGAAATGACCGTAATCTTTACAATTACTGTAGTTATTCTTCAACTAATACGCATACCTGACACTTGAGATGATCTACGCACTTGCCAAAGTAAGCTGAGTTTTCATTAGATTTAAAGTTTAAAAGTAAACACACACAACCCATAATTCCTTCATTCACTCTGACGAGAGGCTAACGCTCAACATGTGCGCTTAGAAACAGTTTGGGTAGCCAATATATATTATCGACTCAGTTGATAAATCCAAATTATCCTGTTATTCTCCCCCGCCGACGCATTCTCAAGAAACTTAGCCCCTTTTTTCATTACTAAAGCTACCTTCTCGGTCATTTTCCAAAAAGAGGACACTTACATGCCAGGGGGTTCCGATTGTATCGACACCGCAAAAAAAAAAAAAAAAGTTACGCGCAGGAAAACAAACAACTAATCGCCGTTTAGCTAATCTTTAAAGCACAGATAAGTAGTGAGAGATTGAAAAGAAAGATTTATACTTTTTAATGAAATTCAAACGACAGATATAGAAAATATCAAAAATTTATAACCCAATACTGGCTGTTGGATTTTATCTCCATGGGAATAAAAAGAAACACACGCACGCAAAACAAAAATAGTAGGTCTGGGAAATTTGGCTGGGGGAATTTGGCTGCGACACGATAAATTTTACCGGATCTCCACCTTAAGATTCTGTAATATCATTAATATTTTGATTTTAGCCAAGCTCAAAAGCGGAGCTCCGGTTGGTTCATTAAGAGCTTAATTCTGAAGCCAACTAAATTTTAATGAGTTTGAAACTTTTCTCTCTACATCCCCCCCTACCCATTAGTTATTAACCGGCAGTCAATTTTCTACAGCCCCCCCCTTTATTTGGCGACGACTGCTCTCCCCTTCACTTCCCCTAAAAACCATGTGATCTCCCCGAGATCCTTCACTCCCTCGGCGAAAAAGAATTACCGGTCCCTGATTAACAATGGCTGTTGTATTTATCTCAACAGGACTCCAAAACAACAATACAAAGAGAGCTAATGCCCTCTAAAAGTCAAAAAAAGAAATTAAATATCATAATTTTTAAGGTCAAGTTTTTGAGCGAAACTTATGCAGAATAAAAGAGGCCTTACCCACAGTCGTGACAACACTCCATGTAAAATACAATGAAGCGTAGTATGTCCATCGTGACGTACACCACTGGTCTGGGTCGCCGCCACAGCGGTGTTTTACAGCATTTTCAACCTTCTCCACCAACAAGTCGAAATCTTCTGGTGTCATGTTATGCTTTTCAAGGAAAAACTTCTTCATAGAATTTAATTCTTGTATCTCCAGTTTGTCATTTTCGTTCTCAAGAACTTGGAAGACTACAGCACCTGAGAGAAGATAGATTCCCAGCAAAATCGCGAGGCATATCAATCGTTTTGTGTCGGACGTGAAGTTAAGGGCCATAGGCCTTCCATTGCCTCGATTCGTGTGCTTTTTTTTGGAAGTTCCGCTTAGAAAAAGGATGAAGGTCTTTTCAATAGAATTTATCGCGCGGTTGAATGTACTGTCGATTTACACGAGCATGCGCAGCCTCTCACTAAACGCAAATAACACAATGAGGCACCACTTTCGCCTGGTACCTGCACCGAACTGAAAACGGCTGGTTGAGTCAGATGAAAGGCAAACACAGACTTTAAGATAGAACCTGCATATAACTTCAGAGACAAAGTACCGTTACTGACTTGATAGAGAAAATTTTCAACCTTTTTTACTCATAAGGTCTTAAAGCTATTTCTTCTATTTCTTCTAACTGACGACTAAAGGTTTCTTAATGGGATATTCACGGATATTCAGATAGCTATCTGTCAAGATGACATTTTCTTTATGATGATTTTCTTAATTCTTACTTCCTTTCTCCTTGAAAATGTATTGAAAGAAAGTAAAGAGAATTTATCACAAGATCACGGCCTTGAGAAAGGAGCTGAAGTTGTACTAATTTTTTAGTTTTTAGCTACGAAAAGAGCAAACTCTTTATAAAGACGCTTTGTGTGGGCAGACCATTTTGTCGGCTGTTTCAGGGCTGTGAATTGTTTGCGTTTAATTTTTACGACATTCGATCGCATTTAGATTATACAAAATTCATTAAAAAGCGAAGAATCTCTCGGGAACTCTGTTGAACATGTTGCTTCAACCCTCACACTCAAACGCCAGCATGCATATTCTCCATACTGGCCCCGGTTGTTCAAAGATTGGATAGCGCTATTCACTTGATAAAACACTATCCGGTGGATAACACTGTACGTTTTTCTATCACATATCTGCTGGATAGCGATTTATCCGTTGGATATCTGAACTTTGTACAACAGGGCCCAGTCCTCTAATATCATAAATTTCTCAATATATTTCCTGACATGGTAAATGTTTTTAGCAATCAAGATATTGTGTAATTGGTAATCATTTCCTTTATTCTCTTTCCCTTAATGCTTGATTCAGGGGTGATATTGTAAGGAGAAATTAGATGCTTGTCGCTCTTAGAGGTTTAAGAGTCAAGATGCTGTTTCAGTCGAACGAAATAATTTGTCTATTTTGTGCATTTATCCTGAAACAATATATTACTTGGGAGGCGCGGTGGCCTCACGGTTAGTGCGCTGGACTCCGGATCGAGAGGTCTGGGTTCGAGCCTTAGCCGGGGACACTGTGCAGTGCTTACTCTCACAATGCCTTTCTTCACCCAGATGTTAAAATAGATACCGGCAAATTTAATGCTGGGGGCAACTAAGCATTCCATCCTGGGGGGGGGGAAGTAAAATACTCCTAGTCGCTTCATGCCACAGAAACCGGAGTTAAGCGCCGGCCCAACGAGTCACTTGGCTCGAAAACTGGTCTTACTTTACTATATTACTTGTTTGAAGATACCTCCATTTTTAAGGTCCTTAAGAGGGCCAAGAGTTTATTAGTTTTTAAGTATTAAGTGATACCCTCTTTAAATAAAGGCTACTAAGTGCACTGTATTGCAAAACAAAAGTATGTTCACCATAACAGGTTAACTTTGAAAAGATTTACGCAACGATTAAAGAAAATAAATCTACCTTACTCGATTGTTCAACATAAAATACGCACAGATATTTTGCAGCAAATGTACACTCGATTTCTAAACGTTTGACATCTAAAAAGAATTATCTATGAGTGATGAGATCAAACGGCTTTATGGGAAATGTCCACACCATTACAATCAGTGCTTTACTTTTTCTTTGCAGTAAATGGCTTGAACTCGGGGGTAACATGTGAAGGTGTAGTCTGATCGTCCGGGTGAGTGTAGTCCTGAGAAGGTTTATTTCTTCGGTTTCAAACAATAGTCTGTTTTTCCGAACTATGCCACTTTCAGGGAAAAGGTTGAGTTAAAGTTGCAATGAAGAAATTGATACTAGCGTGGAAAAACGTAAATGATCTGCTAGTCCTTTAAGGTCGGCACACACGAGGGGACTAGTCCCTGCGACAAGTCCATGCGACTAGTCCCAGCGACAAGTCTTTGAAGGGTTTACACGAGGGGACCGTTAGCAGGGACTAGTCCCTTAAGGCGTTCACACGCGGGCACTCAATTGCACAAGAACAAAGGAAAATTAAGAGGCAAAAGATTTTTCTCAGTCTGGGGCGTTACACGAAAACAATGAAAATTTGGTAACTTTTCATTGTAGCACTATTAAACATCAACGCAAATGAACTACAATTATTTAGTCGGATTATTCATGCTTTTACGTGTTCCGTTTTTGTTTTGTTTTTGTTATTTTTAACAGACACGGAGTCAAATAGGGTAAAAATTCCATCAAAACGGCTACAATACATCTGTATATGTTTACAAAACTAGAAATATGCAGTAAATGGTTTGAACCCGGGGGTAACATGTGAAGGTGTAGTCTGATCGTCCGGGTGAGTGTAGTCCTGAGAAGAACTGTTGTCGGTGGTAGTGACTGACGTTTCGACAACCTGTGCGGAAGTCAACATCAGAGTCAAGTGAATGATTGTTGTTAGTATAATGTTTTTATTCCAGTTCGTGTGAAATGATCGGTTGGTTTTGCCGTGGTGTTATTGGCTGTAAGACTCAAGTGACGTAAGTCGGTCGTGATTGGTCTGTTTCGATCTGTCGGTAAAGTTAGGTCGTTCTTTTTCGGTCGTTTGTGATGTTTATGTCGTGAATGAGTCGTTTGTATGGAGCGGGTAGTTGTTGACATCTGTTTAGGGGAGTCTTTTCTAAGTTAGTTAACCAGCTTTCCAGAGTCAGTCGTTGAAAATAGTCAGTGCTGTAGGTTAGGCATTGCGCAGAGTCCCATTCAATGTTGTGGTTGGTAAGTCGATGGTGTTCAGCAATGTGATTGCTGACATCACCTTTCCTCGTCGCCCGTCTGTGTTCAGTCAGTCTTGTTTTGAGGTTTCTTCCAGTCTCACCGATCTGTAGGAGGCTTGGCAGTCGGAACAATTGATCTTATAAATCGTTCCCTGTCTGTTCCTCGGTTTGTCTTTGTCTTTAACCTTGCCTGATAAGCCACAACGACAACTCATTACGGACGACAGTTTACAGGAAACCGACACACACCGACAGATACTAGACGAGTCATCCTACAACCCTACATCACACAAAGCCACAACTATCGGAACTCTAACACGACGCGCACAACTAGTATGCGACTCGACAGACAGCTTATCCGACGAGAACAAATACCTTCACCGTGTTTTTAAGAAGAACAACTACAACAACGACTTCATCCGACGAAACACTCACCGACCCACTACCACTACCGAAACAAACGACACCTCAACCCCTACGACTACAGCAACCATACCGTACATAAAAGGCATGTCTGAAAACATCTCGCGCATATTATTATTATTATCATTATTATTAAAGCTAGGTAATGAAAACTAGTAAAGTGCATTACTTCATCAGCCTTACAGATCGACGAGTTAACAACTTTTAAAACGACTCCCTTGTTCGTGACGTTTGAGTGATCCCGAACTTCTTCCATACAACAAATTACCTTTTGGGACATTATTTGACCTTTCTACAGAAAATCAGTTATATATAATTTTTCTTTTCCTTGCCCAAACTGAAATTAGATAAGTTTGGAGTAAACAAAATAAAGTTGCTTGTAATTCTATTTTGGAATCACAAAAGTAAAATTGCTTGTAATTTTATTTTGGAATTACCAAAATAAAATTGCTTGTAATTTTAATTAATTTAATTGTGTCTATTCTGGAGAGAGAATTTGTTTTACAACTATGATGGATGGCTGACTGTCTAGGTTAAAAGGAATTGAGTAAATCCGACTAAAAAATTAATGGTTGAAAATGACAAGAAAAAGTTGCGAATGTAGTTAAATTTCCGGTGGAAGGAAAAAAAGCATTGAAATGGCTTCTAAGTCAATCTGAGAGCAAGAAAAGTTGGTTCGCCAATGACAATAGTCGATCAGCTACACAATCTGCTTGTACTGTATCTATTTAAAACGTTACGTAATCACTACGGCTAGAATATCGCTGCTTGATTTTGAACGGTAGACGCGAAAACCTTTTGGCCAGTTCGCTTTTTGAGAACGGAGATGCTCTATTTAGCAGCTCATTCTTCACTGCTTATAGTTGTTTTGTGGGGAGGATGGCAACAATTCTCAGCGGATGGACACGAGGGTAGGTCTTTCGATTTATGCAGTCGAATTTCCCTGTTCATCCGTGTTTTTGTTTTTGACTACAGTCAACTAATTATGCGTAAAAAGTTGGACGATGTATTCTGTAAATATGTATCGCTTCACCTTACTCTGGGTTAATATTTTTTGGTTCACTGTATATTTGACCTCTGATCTGATACCAAGCAAATTGCCAACTTGAACTTGCCAAAAAAAAACAAAACATGATACTCTTAATAAAGCTTGGGTCAGACAGAATTCGGAACGTCGACGTTTGCATAGTAAAAAGTTGCCTGGATTTTTCCCGGGACTCTCGAAATTTGGTTCTGTCCTGGTGTACCGGTTCACAAGGGAATTACCATTGTTCTTTCTTTGTTTAGGAGTCATTGGTTAGCTGTTCTGTATTGTTTGGTCTTTTGTATCGGCTCTTGTGAACCGGTACACGAGGACAGAACCCGAAATTTTAAACACGATTATTAACTGTGAGAAGAAAACAAACTTTATTACGCAGAAAAAACGCCAGGAAAGACAATTTGATGTTCATACTGAAAATAAAGCTTCCTTAAAATTCGAGAAATACTCTGAAGTTTGAGACTAGTATAAAATAAATTTTAAGGAGAAGAAAAATTTGTTAAAAGGGGAGTGCTTGGTCATATATGGAAGACAAACAGCGGCATGGAGCTCAGCTCTTGCGTTTTGGAGCTCAAGTGTTTCATCTTGTTCCACTATTCTGGTAATTTAATTGCACTCATATTGGTGTCAATAGCTATAATTTACAGGAAAGAGACAACAAACTTAAACGGTAGAACCTCTATTCAACGAAACTCTATATAACGAAGTCCTCGGTATAGCGAACAATATTTTATTCAGTA